ATCAGATTTTTTAAAACCAACACTATGCTTTTTTTCCCATGTTTATAAAATGTTTATCATATGAATTATTTAACCCTGAAATGTAAGATTTTAAACAGGAGAACTATACTCACATCCACATAATGAAAAAAGCAACCAACAACTGGGACGTCAAAAACTTTTCTGATCGCATTTATAATGGCGTCTTCAAAGTCGCTAACTGCCTGGGTGAAGTTCCACTGACCCAAGCGAGCTCTCAGGAATACAAAAACAGAAAGATATGCTGCCTCGGTCTTCTTTTCCATAAGGCACCATACAAGGGGTATCACCTTAAAAAAAAAACAAGGCTCAACTTGTATCATTTCTTGTGATTTAGGACCATTAAATATAGCAAGTACTTACTGTGTGACCAAAAATGCTGACAATAGTAAAGACCTGGTAAAATATAAACATACACAGTTATTTTCCAAACAGCATGTACAAACATAACACAAAGCAGCAGAAACAACTAGGGCATATTTACCTGGTAGCAGTTGATTATGGATGGAGTGATGAAAAATGTGCCATCTGCAAATATAATGTTTACTTCTCTCAAGCGTTGCAGTTTCCTTTGACTGCAGTATATGATGCTGTGGGATCCATCCAATCCATCAACAGATCCACAGTAAATGGAATCTAAATTGTCAGCAGTTCTAGTGAGATGTGCCCACGAAGGATCAAGATGAATAGCTGTTAGTTCCCTCAAACTTGTTGGCACTCGAGGAAAGACGCCACTGCGTGCCCTTTGCATAGCTGGGCGCAGTTCACTGTAAGTAAGTCGAGATCGAATCCCACGATTTGCAATCCTGGCAGGAGACGGAAAGAGGGCAGTAATTTTATAACAATGGCTTCTAAAGCAATCACATCCCGACACCCACAATTTGAAACTTATCATCACACCAATATTTTACATTAATGAGAAAAGGTTCAAAGATGATTAGTACCTGCTTCTTTCTTGGTTAATGATTTCGGAAAAAGAAACATATCTTATTGCTCTTGCTTGGTCCATTATGTTGCGGCGATAAGCAAGCACTTGGGAGTGCTCCAAATCTGGGGGGTGATTGTGTTGTACAGTGTGCTCCAAAACACCTCCCACGCACAACTTTGCCCGACCATAACATCTTGACGAAGTACAAACAAAATAGACAGTTGTGTTGGTGTCATAGCTGAAATGATAATAGAAGCCATCGCCTTTGTGGTAGAAGTAGGAATTTTCTCTAAAGCCCGGTTCACAGATAAGGAGTGCATTCTGGTTCATTATTCTGTTATGGTCATTGATCTGTAAATCAAGGCAGGATAAGATTAAACACACGAAGACCCACCAACTCCGTTCCACAAGTTAAAACAAAACGGGAAGCTACCGGGACGACTATTAATTTCTAACCTGCAATCAATTGACGTCGTCGGAGGCGAGAGCCCTTCGCCGCTAGCGGCAGCTACCAACCTAAAACCAAACTTTCAATATTTTGTACGACATGACAAGCACTAGCTGTTAAGCGATGATAAATTAAAGTTAAATAGTTTGCAGGTCATACGCCAAGGTAGAATAGAAAGTTTTCTTTTTAGTTCGAATTATTTTTTCAACATGACAGTTGGTGTGAATGCCCAGCCGAGACCGCCGAGAGACCCCCTCCCCTCCTCGCTCTCTTGTTTTGATTATATTCACAGGCAACAAGGCCGTCAAAGTTGCTAACAATTAGTTTCTATTGCCAGTTGATTTGTGTCCACAGGCGACGGGTAATTACTACTTACTATTAATATATCCAACTAGGATGGACATATTAAGGATTGAGTGCGCTGTAAGACATTATGTATACCTCCTAACCTGTACGTTCGTTTGTCTTGCAGCAATGGAACTTCCTCCACTAACCAGAGTTCAAGGGGTCCATAGAAACAGTTCACTTTACCACATGAATGATGGGTTTTTCTTTACTCGCTGCAATCAAAGATTGGACACTATTTATTTTCGCTGCTCAAAGTCGGGGAGTGGATGTCATGCTACTGCAGCCCTAAGATCAGGATGTTTTCAAAGCTCTTTAGAGCATAACCATCCTCCAAATTTTCTGCATGTTCCCGTAACTCTGGAACGCCGAAGGCTGGTTAACGAGGCTTCCAACCTGCAGTATGCATCGTTTGCAGAGATCTTCACTAACACAAGGTATTTTAATGCATTCATGCTGTTGTCACCGAAAAGCAAAAGAGATGAGAGCTGGGCAACTTGTTAGAAGATTGGAATAAAATGAACAGACAGACAACATTATATTTCCTTTATTCAAGTAGGTTTTGCTTGGCCTGATAATCAAAGGATTTTGACTCTTTGTCTGCGCAATTCTGTTCAGTTTAGTCTTTGTTAGTATTCAGTTTAATAGTTATACTCCTTCCTACCTTCCTCCCCTCTTCTGCTTCTGCTTCTCATGCATAGAACTTATGTTTATTCATTGTACTTTTGCAGTAATTTATTCCCACACCTATTGACACCTCACAGCCTGCAGCCAGCCATGGCACGCATGAGAAGTTTCGCCTTGCCACAGGAGCCAAGCACATTGCCTGGGCTTGATCTAATTCTCAGAGATGCCAGATTCAGATGCTTGTGTTCTACTAGTTATTTTGAGGATTTTATCTATTCTGGGTCCACTGTGTCTGAAGATGGCTGTTTTGCAATACTTCTACTAAGTGGGAAATGCAAAGAATTCATGAGGCATTCAATCACTCCTTCACCTTCACCACTCCCTTCACAATGCAAGGTGCACCGGCTCAGTACTGGGTATGATTTAATGAGACAAAGCCTTGTTCAATATCCAACTTGACTTTCTTGAAATGATTTTTAATTGTCACTGTTTTGTCATTATAGGTCCATGTGATTTATACTGTGTGGGACGGAACAGTAAGTATTAATTTTTTCCTGAAAAACGTAATAAGTGTTCTTTTTATGGGAATTTCTTTTGATATCACAAAATCTATTACTTTGCAGTTCCTTATTTTGGCTTGGTTATTAATGGAGCAAATAACCGATCAAGGTTTCACTGCTGCTTTGACTTTACTGAAGTCTGTTCTAGAAGTAAAACATTTCAACACTATTGTTTGTCAGCTCGGCAGCAAAGAAGCAAATGCTTACAAAGCTGTATTTGCTCCAGTACATGTAACATTTTGTTTACATGATTTTGTTCAAGTAAGTGTTACATCAAAGGGATTATGTGCTTAACATGATGATATTGCTAACTCTGATCTTTTTAGAATGTAGGGAACTACATACGATCAGAAAACCTGAATCATCCACATTTGGTTGACATTGCCTCTCTTGTGTGTGCCTTGCCCATTTTGCCTTCTGATTTTCTACATTTTGGTCGGGCTTACATTCAACAACAAATGCAAAATTTTGAAGGACTTGCTGACCAGGCAAACATGTTATTGGAACATGTTCAGTCTAACTGGTTCAATGTGGTTGCTGATTTTTCAGTCAGCGGTGACAGCTACCGCACAAGTAACGTAAAGTAAGTAGAGAGCTCTTACTGCAACATTGTTTTTTTTCATAACTTATTGAGCTTAATTCCTTCTTCCTTGCAGTGAAACTGTACAAAGGAGGGTGCTACAAGACATGAACACCCATAAAACCAGCATTTATAGTTTAATTAGTAAGTATTGGGATGAAATGGAAGTTACTGTCCATCTTTCTTTTCTGAAGTTGTACAAAATGTAGATATTCTATGAACAGCTCCATAAGGTTGCCTGTCAGGACACTTTTTGCTATTCGTTCTGTACTCATTTTGCTTATAATTTGATGATGAAGGTAACAAGGGTTGAGTAATGTCCCTTGCTTGGTGTAATGTAGCAATAGGTGTTAAAACCAATTTTAAATACTGATGATGTTATGGCCCTCATCCATTTTTTATTTCATAATTAGTGTCTCACAATAAAATGGATCTCAAATCAAATACTCAATGGTTTCGGTTTTGCAAAAACTGAGCAGAATATCTTGCTACACAATTGTGTTGTAAAAAGAGACTCTTTTCTACTACCAGTGATGTATAATTGGCAACTTGTTTTATCTTACCATAGCACTCCTTAATGTTTTGGTGATGTGTGATACAGCACCAAACTTGAACCAATTACAGCTTACAACATCTCATTTGTTGTCAAGTGCAAAATAACTTGTTAAGTAAGAGTCGTTTGTTGAATGGCAAAAAATATCATCGGCTGAACTTATTTCCAGGACACATTGCTAGCGCTGCTGAACTGTCGGGAAGAGACATTCTGGAACTACAGCATGGCAGGAAGGTACAGCGAAGAAGGACAGTGTCGCTTTCGAATGAAAAAGAAATTGCTGTGCTGACAATGGCTTTAGTACATCCTTTTGGAAGTGCAATGACTGCTGTTATTAATCTCCTACATGCTACATCAACAGCAACTAGGCACATACTTTTAAATCAACTAGGTCAGTGATAATTTCATGCTACAAGTGTTTTTTTCTTCTTTTTTAAACCTTTATACCTCTTTTGTAACTAGAGATGTGTCCAGCCCTATTGTCTTGTAAGCCATCAGAAAGCTGTCCTTGTATAAATGACAGCATTAATAAAGCATTTACTGTCAGTAATGTGCTGGTTATCCTCTCGCAAAAAGTTTTTTATTATCACTATTTTACCTGAAATTCGAAGTTAGCGAACGTTCCCAATGCTCCCTCCCCGTCTCTTGGTATAAATCTCATTTACAAGCGTGTACAGAAAATCTTGTGGCTTAATTCACTGCATAAATTAAACTAAGCTTAATTAAATCACCAGTTACTGAATTGTAAATTATATTTCAAAATAAGTGCATTGCATAGAGCTTCTGTCACTCTCCTGACATATAGTATTTTAAAGGGTTTACATCTGACATATTTCAATGGTCTCCCTATCTAATTACATCCAAAATGCAACAAATGGAAGTGGTCAATTTGTTTTCTAGAGAGAGGAACATGGGAAGTAAATAGAGCGCTGTATACAATTTCAGCCACTTTTTAAACAGTTGTCAAGCATAGAAAGCTGGCTCAAAAACCCATCATTGGGACATATTTTTCTACGTGAGCAACACAATCTCAGAGCCATGGGTATCCTCAAGTGGACTTTCAAAGCAAGGTAAATGAGGGCGACCGTTGGTGATCGGGAGTATCCCTTCTCACAGTGAATTAGAACTTTTCCTGAAATCAAAAGGTGTTGCAATGAAAAGAAATATTGAATGCTGATTCAAAGAGCATTAGGAAAAGGTGGTGAAATACCTCCTGCTGTTATCGCACGGTCAATAAACTCTGCAGAACATGTGGAAGTAAGGACTGATGCTGCAAGAAGGGTCATCAATCAATGAAATACCTAAATAGTTGATTCCCACATCAGCATAGTAATGGGCATTCGTATCGACCATGCCAGGAACATTGCCCTCTGCAGCATTCATGATATGCGTGATTCCGAGACGTGCAAGGTAGGGTTTATTCAGAGCACAATTCCTATTTTAAAAAACAGAGTTGACAAACATGTACCCCAAAACTTCAAAAATAAACACAATATTACTTCTTACTTATCGCCAACATATAAGTTTGGAAACACTTCGTCGCAATCCAAGTTCAACATAGCTCGTCCAAAGAGACCAAGGGAAGTACCTTCATACCCAGGTAGGGCACAAAATGAAGGTCTGGTGCTGTTAATAATGAGTTTTAGCTGTTGGGCAGTGGTTTCCTCAGTTACCTGCAGAAAAATAAATGTTAGATTTACTTTCAAAAATGACTGATATCTCTTTGAATTTTTGTAAGAAGTGATGAGACTGTTGAAAAAGGGACATTTCAAAGTAGACTGTTGGAACAGAAGTAGCTTGGACTAGCTTAGATCATTTAAAAAAAAGTATGATAGTGTCAAATAAATTAGATTGGTTACACTCATGACAAAGAGAAATGAGTCACATGTGTAGATCCAAATTATTATTTTTAACCTGAGGAGCGTGTTAGAACGGTAACTTTTCGGAATGTAACTTTCCATTTGTTGAAGTTCCATATTTTTGAAAAATAGAGGGCTGCCTTTCTGTTTGCTTGCTTGCTTGAGCGGCAGGTGAGCGGGAGACCACGAAAAAAAAAAGGGGGGGGGGGAGCGGGGGGAGACGAGAGAAACCCTTCGCCAGAGAAAGAAGAAAAAAACGAAAACCGACGCTCTCCTGCGCGCGCAGAGAATCTTCTTCTTTTCCTTCTTCGTAATTCGTATTTCCTTTCTCTGCTGCTGCTTTCTCTCTTGGAGACTTTGTGACAGAAAAGAATATTAATCCACTCTAATCCTCTAATCCATTGTATCTAATAAGGTAAAAGCTTATCACCGATCATGGCGCAGGCTCTACCTAGTAAGTTCAACCATGGTTCAACACTTATTAGCAACAATGTTTGTTTCGGAGAAGGTACACGCCAAGTCCAAACATCCGCACCAGGGCTCTACCAAACCCCACCCGTTTTCATTGATAGTTTTAGCACGCGATGGTTAACGGGGGCTCGACCTTGTCTCGTCTTTTTCAATAGCGTTATTATTAAGAGAAGGCACATTGACAAACGCCCATTAACCTCAACCCTCTCTGTCCCAAAGACTGCTTCCTTCGTGCATTCACGTTTGATTGTCGTTGGCTTTAAAGAGTTAAACTATGTTTTTGTAGCAAAAGCTGTTTTCACGTTACCGGTAACGTTTTTTCTTGTACGTAGTTTTATTTTAATGCATTCTTGTTTTTATTTTATTTTTAGTTCAGCCCCAGCCTACTGACCAGGACTTGCGAGATGTCCGAGCTATTCATATACACATCAGCGTCTCCACCCCCGGTAAGTTTTGTATTTTACGTACAGCCTTTACATTAATAATTCATTTCCTTCACTGCCTCTCTCACAACAATTTTGCTCTGTAGATGGCTTTGCAAGAGTGGGAGCTCTGCTGCAGGGGCTTCTGACAGAAGGACCGCAGGTGGCAGCGGTGCAAGAACAACAGCCTGTCCCCATCCCGGAGCCACAGATGCCGACCAAGCTGATTCATATTGCAGCATCTGCCGCACCGACGGCGCAGACGCAACCCTGCCCTGCGGCCATCGGTTCCACGCATACTGCATAAGGCCATGGCTCCTCACGCACCGACGATGCGGAGATATGACCTGTGGAAGGCCCACCCAAGTTGGTGAAATGTCTGCACTATAAACATCATCATATCATCGAGACTGGTCTGGAAGTTGTACGGGCTCGTGACTCAATCACCCTGAGGATGAATTAGTTACGTGCTAGCTCATTGTAGTTCAGCAGGTGAGGCTTATCAGGAGAGCTACAGTCTAAGTTCAATTTAGCGTTAGCGATTAATGTTGTCCTGTTGACTGCTACCTATAACGAATACCGCGTAACCGTATGAAATTCGCGTAACTGTATGAAATTATAAGCACCTGTCACTAACACTAAATCGAGCTTATACTGTACCAGAAAAGGGTTTCGATCTGGGATCAGCTGTCCAACAGGCCCACCCCAACATTGGTGACAAAGTGGAGATTTCAATACCAAAATTTTTTCTTGACTTTGGTATTAAAATCTCAGCTTTGTCCTGAATTTTGGGTTTGGGGCCTTTGTTCAGGATTCCAAATTAGAGGGGCCCTTTTGGTTGGCGGTAGCTCTCCTGATAGCCTTTTTGTAGAACGCTAAAAACTGAGTCCTTCACACTTTTGATGTTAAACTGTCTGAATGATGTTAACTGGTCTGAAAGTTGTAGGCACTCGTGACCCAATCCTCAAGCAGGACTTCGTATTCTTCTAAGTTTTTTTTCTATCTAATTGTGTTTTATTTTTAACATGTAGTTAAATGTATGGAATTCTTTACTGTACCTGGAGAGCTACAGACCAGTTGTGACACCAGTCAGTACCCTTCCTAGCCCTGAGGCCTGTGTGCCCCGTGAACACCTGTGCCTGACCAACCAGCGTGCAGGATGTCCTCTCCGTATCGCTCTAGGACTAGGACAGTCATCAGTGGTCTGGAAGTTCCTAGAAGATGGTCTGTAAGTTTTATGGACTTGTGACCCAATCCTCAAGCAAGACTTCGTATTCTTCTAAGTTTTTTTTTTTTCTATCTAAATGTGTTTAATTTTTAACATGTAGTTGTATGTATGGAGTTCTTTACTGTACCTGGAGAGCTACAGACCAAGCTCGTTTCGTGACCAATCCTAAAGCGGGACTTTGTATTGTTTTAGTTTTTAGTTAGCTTTCTTTTCTAATGGTGTTCCATTTTTATTCATGCAGAGCATCTTGATTCATAATTTCCTGAGAGCAGTTGGACCAGGAGTGAGGTGATGTGAAGATTTTGTTTGACCTGTGATAATCGTGTAAAGTAAATTCATTATTAGTTTGAAGCCTGTGATAATCGCTTATAAGTAAATTCGGTACTAGTTTGACTTGTGATCTTAGAGTAAATTGAGTATTTGTTTGGCCTGTGATTTTGCGTTAAAAAAAAAATTAGTACTTGACTAGTCTGAGTAGGGCAGGATGCAAGGTAAACTGATATGATGGACGAGTGTTATTCGCGTTAAAATTTTACTTTTTGGGGGATGGGCTATTGAAATTGACTTTATCTGCAATTAATCGCGTACAATTTTGGTTGCACTTGGGGCTTCTGCCTCAATGCACCAAAATCTGTTGGTGAACTGGCTGAAAAAAATTGGAATTTTTTTTAGAAATTTCTTTTTGTTTTGGCGTGAAGCTGTGGAAACCCACTCACTCCTCGTCCAACTGTTCTCTAGGAATATATATTTTTAAAGTCTACTTAGTGGTATTGTATGCCTCTGGCATGTATGTGCTTTTTTTAATAAACCCTATTTTCATCAAAAATTTTTTGCCTGTCTTAGCCTACATCTTTTGACCAATTCCATGGCGATCTTGCCCAAGGTTTCCCTGCAAACCACACCTCAGCAAAGTAATTGATGATAGGGCTTTTGATACCATAAATTTCTCAACCACACCAGAAAGATGTGATTATATTTTCCATGCCTTTTTGTCTTTGAAACCGACTAAAACAATGTCATCCCTTCAATATCATTGGCCCTTTGACCCTTTTAGCTTTTCCCAGCTGGTTTGGAAACTTTTAAATCTCTTTCATGAAGGGTGGATTAGGTGGGTCCTTTCCCATAGAGTGCAGGGGGGAAAGGGGGAGAAATAAGTCACTTGTTGACTAGTGCTTTTTATTGGTCATAAGGTTGGATCTGAAGAAACAGTCAGGTGGAGCTTGTTAGCGAAAACAGCAGTTTGTTTTAGAGATGAAAGTGAATATTCAGTTTGCCAACTACGCCATTGTCAACGGAACAATCTTCAAGGCAATCTTAATGGAAAAAAGGGGAAACCACAAATATGCAAACAAAAGCATCACAAAAAAACTGGAAGCAGGCTTGAAGAGAGAGAGAGGGAGGGCATTTCAATGGTAGAGAATGACAAGAGTTCCACGGGATTAACTTCTTACAAACATAAAATCATGACAGTAATAAATTGCCATAAAAAATATGTCAGTCCTTGCGTCTTTCAAAAAGGGAATGAGAGGGGCAGAAGGTGTGACTTTCACGTTGAGTCCATGGTCTGAGGGGGACTTCCCCCGACCGGGCCAGCTCGGCAGCACCGCGTTGTCCTACAGTCCCGAACACCGCCCAAGTCTTCGGCGCCGAGAGGCGAACTCGTCGAGCACTGCGCGCCTCGCAGGTAGGCAGCCCATCGCCCGTTCGCGGTCTGGGGCAGAGTAGGCCCCCGTCTTCACCTGGTGCGTGGCAGGTCCGATGGCTGGTCTATCCGCTAGGCGCCACAGTCTCAGTCCCACGGACAGTTTCTGTAGACTGACGAGTTCTTTCGGCCGTGCGTGGTGCCCACCCCGTCCCCTGGAAGGTGCCAGGACACCCCGTCAAAAAGGCGTGCGCGTCCAGAAAGTCCCCCCCAAGTATGGCCTCCTCCTGGAGCGCCGGGTACGCCCCCCTGGTAAGGCGGAGGAGTCCCCGCCGAAGTCCACGGAAACCTAACGTGACCGCTGCACGCGGCGGCTCAGATCGGCCGTGGCTAGGGTGGGGCGACGTTTTTTGCGGCGTCGGCCGCTCCCCCGCGCCTCCGTCGCGCTCCTCCTGCTAGACCGGAATTGGCTTCGGTTTTGAGGAGGTGCGCGACGGGGGGGGCGGGGAGGGGCGGGGGAGCGCCCAAAGCTACTACCACCTCGCTTGCTGCACCTTGCTGCACCGGGTCAAAGTGCGCCTGCATAGCGCGTAGTCTGTGTATTTGAGGGATGGGTATGCAGCGACTGCACCAGGTCGGCGGCGCGGCCTTTGAGGGCCTGCAGCGGCGACGGCGCCCGGGGGTCCGGCTGCCAGTCGTGCGTGGCGCTCTCGGTCGCAGGGGCGGCGAGACAGGGCGGCGGCGGTTACTTCAAGTAAATCACGACCACCGACCGACTCGTTGACGGCAGCGTTGGAGTGGGGCGGCAGCACGCGTGGTGGTCGCAGTGCAGCTCGAAGCCGGCTTGGACATCCGCGTCAGCGGCAGGGACGCTGCCGTTTCGATGCGGCACGCGGTCCCCGTCGACGTCCACGTTCGACTCGATTAGTGGACACGAAGTCGGTCCCTCGAAGGCAGTCTGCATGGATGGCGCCCTTGAAGCAGGTGACGGTCAGCTCGGCACCTGCGATGGCAGCCGTCACGTAGCGAGGGCCGCGGAGCTCGGCGGAAGTGCCCGTCTCGGCAGACGTTGGGGGCAGACGCTGGGAGCAAGAGGCCGTGCCGTACCACCGTGAACTGGGAGCCCGGGGTCGAGCACGAAGCATCACTTCCCGGCGTCGAGGAGCCCGTCGGCAAACACGTGATACGGACGGGGGCGCCGAGGCTGGATGCTGCAGTGCCGGTCCGTGGTGCTGCTTGGGCGGTGGAGGCGACGGTAGCCGGTGTCGCGCCCGTCGACGCGGCTACTTGTCGTTTCCCCAACGACGGCCAGTGGAACCGGAGTCCCGGTTGCCAGTGCGGCTGTCCAACCGATCTCGGTCGTCCCCGGGGCTGCGAGCTGTTGGGGCAGTCACGAGGGAAGTGGCCGAGGCCGTTGCAAAGGAAGCTGCGAGCGCGGCCTCCGCGGCGGTCGTCTTGGCGGTCTCCTCGCTGGTCGTCCCGACGGTCGTCTCCGCGGAGGTCACGGCGGTCGTCGCAGCAGTCTCGTGGAGGCCCCGCCTTGGCCGCGCCAGGCTGCCGCAAGCTGCCGCATCTCCCGCAGCAGGTCCCGAAGCGGCCACCAGCGGCCGGCCCTCGTTGGCGGGCAGACGGATAGCGGCGACGCGCGCGTCGGCGTCCTGGTGGGCAGCTGCTGCAAAGGTGGAGGGCTCTTCTCTCACCTGCAGGGGGGCGTGCAGCGCAGCGCGGTCTCATGGCGGCACGCTGCTCCGCTTGGTCGACGGCCTCCAGCCACATGGCCGCAGCAACGGTGTCCGGGTCCCGGCGGCGGGTGTCACCTCGGGGTCGGCGAGGCCGGCGATGAAGGCCTCACGCGCCGTCGACTACAGTTGGTCCTCCGCAGAGGTGGGGTACGCATCGCGCACCAACCCCAGCACGGCGATGCCCTCCGTGGGCTTCGCTTCTGCTGGCGGTGCTCCAAGGACGCCTCGGCGACGCGGGCACGGGCGGCCGGCGCGTACCTCTCCTGCAGGGGGGCGTGCAGCGCAGCGTGGTCCTGGCGGCAGGGTCTGCAGCAGCGCCGCCGCGGGGCCGTGGAGTGCGCCGGGAAGGCGATGTCCCTTCTCGGCGTCAGTCCAGCCGAACTGCTCCTCCCGGGAGTGGCCGGCTGGTGAGACTACAGCCTAGATCTGCACAGCACTGCGCCACTGCCCCTCGCGCACTTGGACGCGGCGCACACCAAGTGCGCGAGAGGGAAGACAGTGATGTGCGGAATCACCATTCCACCAACGCCTCGCATCGCCGGGCGCGGGGTAGGCCGCCGTCTTCACACCAGTGTGTGGCGAGTTAGAGGGGTGGCCTACCCACCGGGCGTTCAGTCGCAGCCAAGCGGACGCGTGGATGGCTGCACGCGACGCCACAAATGCGTGCTGCCATTCCTAACACGCTATGCGTTGCTTGGTGCTGTACACCCCAATCCCACGCCGACTCGCGGATGTGTTGCTCAGTTCATTTGGAAGCATGGTGACCGTTGACTGCGGCGGCGCACTCGCTCGGGTTGTTTCGCACTGCGCCGAGACACTCGCTCGACTCGGTCGGCGGCGGGGCGGGCGGGGCGGCGGCGGGCCGCGGGCCAGCCAAGCCAGTGCGCGCCGCGCTCCCCTCCCCTTCCCTCCTCCTCCCTTTCCCCTCCACTCGCGACGCGCGACGCTGGCTTTGGTTTATCGACAGCCTCACTGACGGCGGCTAAACTACAGCCGTGACCATCGGAGACGTTGGCTTCAATATTTGTCCTTCACCTTTCTGCCTCCTTGCACCTTTCCACCGCAAACGCGGTTTCTTCATGAAAAGCCGTGGCCGCGACGTAGCCTCGAACCCAAAGCTCGTTTCGTCATTTCGTGTTTCGCTGTTGTAATAGTTTTAGAGCCTTCCCCATCCGTATCTTGTGAAACCCGTCCTTATTTATGTTACATAATTTGCTTAAAGCACATCGCTCCCACCGATAAACACTTTCCTACCAGTCTGGTCCTGGTCCCGGGTTGCCCAAAGACTTTGGTGTGGAGACTAAGGTTTTCGCGGGCTTTCTACCCACGGCGTCTTGGACAGCCGCCATTGTGGTGGTGGAGTGCTCCGAGCGAGGTTCCGTCCCTTCTCCGTTCCGTGTTGCCTTGTGTGCGCGTCCAAAATCATCCTGTTAGGTGTTAGCACCATGGATCACCCTAACATTGTACTCAGGGACGTCGCTGCTCTCGCAGCTGTAAGTAGCCACGATTCTGTGAAAACTTTTGTGAAAATCCTTATCCTTTAGACCCTTTTTCCAAGCATTCAGTCAGTATCTCCGGGAGTCCTGCAGTTCTTTGGAGTAAACTACTTTGTCCTCTGTCCTGCAGTGCGAGGATTTCGAGCTTCGCGACGCAACTAATCTGAAGAAGATTGTGGTAGCGATTCCGGGCTCTGTGGGGACACCGTATGAAACAGGGGTGTTTGAGGTTGAATTGCATATTCCTAGGAAGTACCCCTATGAAAGTCCTAAGGTAAGGTACATGTTTTCAAATATTTTCACTTTAGATTTAATAAGTGTAGTAGTTTATTAACAGTTTTTTCCCTTTTTTCAGTTTCTCTTCAAGACTATAATCTTTCACCCGAACATAGGACCAGAGGGTGTTGTCTGTGTTGATATGCTTGATGATAAATGGTTTGTATCAACGAATTTGATAATTTTGTTTCTGCATTCACAGTTATCTTCCACCCATGTTCCTGGTTTAATAAGTGCTTCACTTTTTAGGTACCCATCGTATACTTTGGAAACAGCCTGTCTCTGCATGCAGACTCTGATGAGAGACCCCAACCCAATGTCACCTTTAAATGTGGAAGCAGGCAGGATGATGAGGAGGGATCAAGAAATGTTTGAAAGAACAGTAGTGATGTGGACCAAGATTTTCGCTAAGGGTACACACAGCTACCCGGACTACGAAGAGAAACTCTCCATTATCAGTGCCCTGAATGGAGACATTGCTGAAGCACTGAGGGCCCTCACTTCACATTCTTGGGACCAGCATGAAGCTTCTCAGCGTGTAACAATCATTGACCCTGAGGATTGTAGTTCAGCAGGTGAGGCTTATCAGGAGAGCTACAGTCTAAGTTCAATTTAGCGTTAGCGATTAATGTTGTCCTGTTGACCGCTACCTATAACGAATACCGCGTAACCGTATGAAATTCGCGTAACCGTATGAAATTATAAGCACCTGTCACTAACACTAAATCGAGCTTATACTGTACCAGCAAAGGTCGATTTGGGATTAGCTGTCCAACAGGCCCACTCAACATTGGTGACAAAGTGGAGATTTCAATACCAGAATTTTCTTGACTTTGGTATTAAAATCTCAGCTTTGTCCTGAATGTTGGTTGGGCCTTTGTTCAGGATTCCAAATTAGATGGGCCTTTGTTGGCGGTAGCTCTCCTGATAAGCCTTTTTGTAGAACGCTCAAACTGAGTCCTTCACACTTTTGATGTTAAACTGTCTGAATGATGTTAACTGGTCTGAAAGTTGTAGGCACTCGTGACCCAATCCTCAAGCAGGACTTCGTATTCTTCTAAGTTTTTTTTCTATCTAATTGTGTTTTATTTTTAACATGTAGTTGTATGTATGGAGTTCTTTACTGTACCTGGAGAGCTACAGACCAAGCTCGATTCGTGACCCAATCCTCAAGCAGGACTTTGTATTGTTTTAGTTTTTAGTTAGCTTTCTTTTCTAATGGTGTTCCATTTTTATTCATGCAGAGCATCTTGATTCATAATTTCCTGAGAGCAGTTGGACCAGGAGTGAGGTGATGTGAAGATTTTGTTTGACCTGTGATAATCGTGTAAAGTAAATTCATTATTAGTTTGAAGCCTGTGATAATCGCTTATAAGTAAATTCGGTACTAGTTTGACTTGTGATCTTAGAGTAAATTGAGTATTTGTTTGGCCTGTGATGTTTGCGTTATTTAAAAAAATTAGTACTTGACTAGTCTGAGTAGGGCAGGCATGCAAGGTAAACTGATATGATGGACGAGTGTTATTCGCGTTCAAATTTACATTTTGGGGATGGGCTATTGAAATTGACTTTATCTGCAATTAATCGCTTACAAGTTTGGTTGCACTTGTGGGCTTCTGCCTCAATGCACCAAAATCTGTTGGTGAACTGGCTGCAAAAAATTGGAATATTTTTTTAGAAATTTCTGTTTGTTTTGGCGTGAAGCTGTGGAAACCCACTCACTCCTCGTCCAACTGTTCTCTAGGAATATATATTTTTAAAGTCTACATAGATGATATTGTATGCCTCTGGCATGTATGTGCTTGGTTTAATAAACCCTATTTTCATCTAAAATTTTGCCTGTCTTAGCCTAAATCTTTTGACCAATTCCAATGGCGAGTCTTGCCCAAGGCTTCCTGCAAACCACACCTCAGCAAAGTAATTGATGATAGGGCTTTTGATACCATGAATTTCTCAACCACACCAGAAAGATGTGATTATATTTTCCATGTCCTGTTGTCTTTGAAACCGACTCAAACAATGTCATCCCTTCAATATCATTGGCCCTTTGAGCTCTTAGCTTTTCCCAGCTGGTTTGGAAACTTTTAAATCTCTTTCATGAAGGGTGGATTAGGTGGGTCCTGTTCCCATACAGTGCAGTGGGGAAGGGTGAGAAATAAGTCACTTGTTGACTAGTGCTCTTTATTGGTCATAAGGTTGGATCTGAAGAAACAGTCAGGTGGAGCTTGTTAGCGAAAACAGCAGTGTGTGTCAGAGATGAAAGTGAATATTCAGTTTGCCAACTACGCCATTGTCAACGGAACAATCTTCAAGGCAATCTTAATGGAGAAAAGGGGAACCACAAATATGCAAACAAAAGCATCACAAAAACAACTGGAAGCAGGCTTGAAGAGAGGGAGGGCATTTCAATGGTAGAGAATGACAAGAGTTCCACGGGATCCCTAGTAGCACAGATCAGTCGACAGATTGCGGTCGACTGTCGGTGCCTCGACTTAAAATTGTCGATCGACTGTCGGCCCCGACGTTTCTCCGTCATCGAAATGGCCCAACTTCCGAGGTCGGACGACAGTCGGCGCCGATGATTTTTCGACATCGGAATCCGATGACATCTCGACATCACAAACTCGGCAGTCAAACAGCCCCCCCCCCCAAAAAAAAAAAAAAAAAAAATTAAATGCTTGAGTGATGTCGATGATCCGAGTGTTCCGAATTTCTTAGCACCCGTTGCCTCGCCGGAAGGACGCTTCAGCGCCCCCCGCCGGGAGGAGTTGAACCACGGTCCCGTAGCATCGTAGCGCGGACGCTTACCCGAGACTACCGGACTTTGAGGACGACGGCTGCGCGGCTCCGAGCACCTGCCCCGAGCGCGCCGCAGCGAGCTGCTGGCGCGCAGGGGTGGGGGTAGCGGCTCTCTACGTGCGGCGCTGCGCGCGGTGGAGGGGGGTACGGCGCCGCACCAACGCAAGCCACGCCAACATCGGGACTTAGAATTTTCACGCGTCTTTGGAGCGCTTGCACCGTAGCGCCGGCGGCTTGTGAGGATTCCGCAACTTTTTGTTTTACGCTGAGCGGACAGGCTTCACCATCTGCCCTACGTGGCGCGGACCACTCACGAAGTCCCCGAGAAGCGTCCGAGTACCCCTGTCTCTTAGAACGTTGAGTATAATCAACCCCTCGCTTCCTAGCGCAGCGGTTCTCGACTTTGGAGTCGCGAAAAAAAATTGTGGTGTCGCGGCGATGTAGCTGGGGTCGCCTGGGGTCGCGGCGGTTTCCCAGCTGGCCTACAGGCCGAGCAGTGCCGGGAACATCAATTCGCGGAAACTGGAAAACCCACTGCCTGTTTGTCGCTGCATGGAAGGTTGAAGGCCTGCCAGCGCCGTGAGCAAGCGGGAAAACCCTTCTTGGAAGTGTAGGTAGGGGACGGGGATCAACTCTTTTGAGGTAAGGACTCCTCCTCCACGACCACGGCCGGTCGCCACCGATTCATTATCGCTTGGTTGTCGGAAGCGCGATGGTCGGAGTTTCCTGAGATTTTCCGTATCGTGACAACATCAAGTTCGACAGCTTCTCGACAACGGCCAGTTGCCATCCAGTCGTTATCGTAGGGTTGTCGGGAGCGCGATAGTCGAAATTTTCACATCGCACTGGCATCGGCCCCGATGATTCCTCGACAACGGCCGTTCGTCTTCGACCGACTATCGCAGCGTTGTCGAGAGCGCGTTATCGGCGGGCCGATAGAATGGCGACATCGAGTCACCAAATGTCGACCGAGCGACAGTGCGACGACAGTCGCTCGACAAGCGAAATAACGTTATCGGCTATCGACGTGCCGATACAATTTCGACTGTCGATCGACAAGTCTGTGTTCCTAGGGATTAACTTCTTACAAACATAAAATCATGCCATTAGAGGAAACGTTCTTGAATGGTCACATATGCTCACGTCTCATACAGTGCAATTTTTATCTTTTTCTTGTTTCCTTGACAACTGGTTTTCTTTTGCGGTTGTCGTGTATACCAACAGCAAGCCTCAAGAAAACTAATTTAGCACGCAATACAAAGATAAGGCTATCTCTTATGGAGTTGTGATCACATAACTATTCAAATTTAAGAGAGGAAAGAGACTTCTGGAGTGCTGTTTCATTCTTTACAAAGAAGAAGAAAAGTCACAACTATTATGAAGATGTTACATGATCCATAATAAGATCCTGGGTAAACTACGTCGGGATTTAATTTCAAGCTGGCAGACCCTAGGCTGACGATTCAATTTAAATGAACATCCTGAGATAATACACTCTAAGATATGAATGAAGTCAAGTCACCTTAGTTGTGACAGGAACCAATTCAACTATCACCAGCAGCTATGATTCGTATCAATTGAAATTTTCATAATCCCAATAAAAGATGAGTTTCCGGAGTAGAAAGTGGTTGGTAGCATAATCATCACAATTTAGCTGCTGTTAAGGACCAGTCTTGCTTCTTGAGGATGTTGCAAGAGATAGGATGATGCAACTGAAACTGGCATTCGCTGCTTGAACTGACTGAAACAAATGATAAACTAATCAAACAAAGTCAGATAAAATTATCACAACATGCTAATCCCACTAAGTTCATCCGGAACATAATGTGGCAACCCACCTGGTGGAAGTACAGGGAATTTGAGCATTGTTAACAACATTCTCTATATAGGGAGCCTGCAATCCCTAAGTGAGCAACATGTCTTGAAGGAGAGTTCATCTCATGAGCAGCACCATCCTAATTATTCAACATACCTGACAACAGAAAAAAAATGAAAAGATACATTTCCAAGCCCCCAAAGACAGTGCCATCTATTTGGTTTCCTAGTTCTGACATGACGGGAGATATTTCCACAGTGAAGAATAAAATGCGACAACTTCAAAACAGAATCCAAAATTCTTATCAGAGAGGAGACTTTATGAAGAACACATGACCAAAACAGAGTACCTTTTTCTAAATAGTTATATACCCCTTATCAACAATGACACTGAAAGAGTGAAAATTTCAAAAACAAGTTATGCTGAGAGGCGCCATCAGGGAAAGGTAACTAAACTAATAAAAACATGATCTGCATACACTGATAATTTGTCATTTGACATGTTTATGAAATGGACAGTACATCAACAGGAAACCATTGAAAGTAAAAATCTCCAATCGTCTGGCTTGGGAGTGAAAGAGTTTGAAAAATTTGGAGGACAACACACTAGACTCACGTTTTGTAGGGGGGACAACATGCATCTAGCAGAAAACAGAAGAGTCTCAATGGTAGGTGCACAGCTCCCACAAACTTGTATGCATTCAGGAGTCCTCATAGTTAAAAGTTGAAAAGCAGACTCAACCCTGCACATGCTGCACCCACCAGAGACCAACTTGCAAAGCTCTGTAAAAAATAATTTACTAAGATGTCAAAAGACAGGAATGGGTAGAAATAAAATGATTAGGCAGATGGTACGAGCTGCTCCTACTCAAGCCAACTCAAACCCACCAAAAACATTTGAGACACAGCACTGCTTGAGGCCAAGTTAAATATGATGGCACATGCAATAGAAAAACAAACATAAATAACTTTGACGAAAGGAAAATGTCCTCCAGCCACCCAACAACAGCAAAATCCCACAACACAAAAGCCAACAATAAGTCTAAAAAAGAAAACTAAAAAACAACAACGACGAGATCAACTGCATCGAGCAGAGCTAGTCTGCTGATTGTTACATACACTCAAATACGCATAGATTCAACTTGTTGAGTTAAAAGCACAGCACAATGAAAGAGAGATAAGGGTAGTGACTCAACTCTGATCAGGAAAAGTCAAATTGAATACCTAGTGACAAGTTGCCTTGTGCGCCGAGAAGCATTACAAGGATGAAGTGGAAGCAGAGATTAATCAAAGGTAACAATCAATAAAATGGAGCAATCCCTTTACGCAATGCAAACCCCAAGTGGCTGAGAAGGAACTTCCTTACCACATTTAGTACACCAATGAATTTAACTCTACATCCAGCAGGCAGGGCATCTCATAACAAGTGAGGAAGGCAAACCCTCTAACTTAATAATTGAGAAAAGATAGATTTAAAATATGTGCATTTGTCCATCCTTCACATTAAGACTTGGCCCGGCTTTGATTCTGTAATGGTCAATACACTT